TGTGGTCTTCGGGGTGCTTCGGTGGCGCATCGAGGTCTGTTGTGGATGGAACGGCCGAGGCAGGAGCGGTGCCCGTTTGGGTATGTGTGGGTGGGCTCTGGAGATGTGGGATGTAAGAGAGGACGCGGTGCTCTGTTCTAAGATTCGCATGCGCAGTCAGTATACGTCTCATACGCAATTCAAACAGAGTCACTACTTACGCCATGGGAGATAGGCCTGCCCACCACTGGTCGAATCCAGCTTTGGCTGATAGAGGAAACCATTTAGAAAACCTCCCCTGCGCCTCTCCCTGCTCTTTTGCGCGTTGACTCGCCAGCATAGCCTGCTGACCTCCCTGCCTCCCCTCTTCGCTGTCTTGCCCGGCCATGGTCGAATTCCCTGTATTGTCGATTCTAATGGGCGTGCTCAGGCTCAGACTGATGTAGCTCGCGCCGCCAAATCCCGCGCTCTTATGTATGACGCTGCGGGCGCTGGGTCTAGCTAGGTAACTTCGTAGCATTCGCAGGCGCGCAGAAAGTAACAATGCTTGTGATGACAGAGAAAAAGGACGCGACAAGTAGATTGAGGGTGGAATGGTGGCGGTATTTGCGGCGTGTCGCAGAGCACCCTTGGGGCGCTGCCTGCGACGGATTTGTTTTGGTACGATATCTTGACGTAGCCTCTGGACGAGTTACGGTGGCGGAAACGCGATGGCGACGCGGAGATAAGAGCGCCGACGTTTGTCGCAGTCCTCGGACAAGTAATCTGGCCGTCTCCGTTTCTATCGACTTCCAGATGGCTACGCGTGTCGGTATAGCGAATTAGGGAATTAGATTTGAGGCAAGTCAAAGGTACATGTGATTCTCCTCCGCCTTCTGCTTGGGAAGTCGCGACTGATATGCCTGCCCACTACCCCACTGCAAGGGTTCGTCGAGCCTCAAGTTCCGTGTGAGACCCTTCGGCCTATCAACCGCACGAGACCCACCACACCGCCATCAGGCTCACATGGTTTCGACCCTGTGACATGCAAGGCAAAATAGTGTAATCGATTACATCCATTAAGTGCGATATGTCATAACGTCGTCTAGAGTACAATGCTAACAACTCCAACCCAAATGCAAATGACCCGCATGCATGTAAACAAAGTAGTGTACAGTCCTGATTAGGGTAGCCCAGCAGATTCCTATCTGTTACTGGGCTCCTCGACCCAGCTGATTCTTCATCCTCTCCAGCTGCTCACCGCGGACGGCAAAGCGTGTTGCAGCGCTACTACTGTGGCTGCTGTGCTAAGCTTGAGATGTGCCTCGTGGCCGTAGTAATCTTTGGTCCTGAGCGTGCTCGTCGGTCTTCGGATGGCCCGCCATCTTTCCGTGGCGGAGGGATATTGGCAATGCCCCCTGAAGCGAATTGTGACTGTGGCCACAGTGTAGGTGCCGGTGCCGGTCGCGGCCATCTCGGTGCGAATATGCGCTGGTGAAAAGATTCCTTCATATCGCGGTATATGGCTCGATGCTCATACAAATCGCTGAGGCTCTTGGGCGTACGTCATGGTGTTCGCACTCATAACGCTTTGCTGGCTCATGCGCGCGCCTCGGATGTCGACTCCACTGCCAGGCCTCTGCTGCTTCTGCAGGCGCCCATTGTTGTTTGAGCTCCCCGACTCGGTCCTGGTCTGAACAGAGAAAGGTCTTTGTGGAGGTGCCACACCTTGCTTTTCGAATAGTGTCTCCTCGCTCATGGGCGCTTGGTTCAGTACGCTTTGCGGTTCCGGGCGGCGCTTTCGCTTGATGCAGCAGCAGTTGCGGTCATATGGATAGGCCCAGAAGAGGTAGCAGACTGCCCAGATCAAGATGATGCATGGTACAATTCCGAGGCATACAATGAGGGCAATAGCTGTCGGTGAGATTCCGCCGTTGCCATCTGAGTCTTCTAGGAACCGTGCTTGGATATGGTGGATAGCAGGCATATTTGTGGTAGTATTTCTGGTTGGTAGTGTTCGAGGTCCGATCTGGCGGCGAGGTAGATAGAGTTGTGTTTATTCAATGCAAAGAACAGGTCACAAACGAAAAGTGTCAAGAGGTAAGGTGAGAGCGACAGGAATGGACGGGTTACGGAGCGTTGTGAAGCGAAAGTCGTACGTGAAAACTGTCTGGAACAATGAACAGGTGCTGAAACGAAGGATGACAGCTGCCGGTGAAGCGCTTTGTATGCGGGTCTGGTTAAGCCACCCGTGGAGACGTCATGGGGGCTGTGGAGAATCGACTGACGCACATGGCCGCCATGCCGAGAAGTCGGAACTCCTGGCGGTTGCGCGTTCTCATACACTAGAGCGATTAGACATGCGCTACACTCTTGGTGCGAAGCCGACTTCCCAGTAGTCTGTCTCTTCACAGATGCTGTTGCTTGTCAGTCCTTGCGCTTGGTGCCTTGTTCACGACGGAATGATTCATCGACATTCTTGAGCTATTCAGATCTACCCAGCCTCTGCTGAAGCGACCAGGATCCTGAGACTGAGCCTGATTACCAGGGGCTGCACCTGACGATGCCCTCAGAAAGCTACACTCGTGCCGTCTCAGCCGCAAGCCCAAAAACCTGAAGGATGGTGAGCGCTACAGGCGACCATGTCATTGACGTGTTGTGTCCTAGTATGAAGCGTTAGCCCTGTTTCCAACTAGCGAGGCCGGAAGGCGCGGCGATGACCGCATGGATGTCAGGCTAAGCCGGCCCAGATCACTGCGTGTGGGGTAAACGTCTGCATCGTGCGAAATCGACGCGAACCTGAGTACTCAGTGCCGTGGGCCTCAGGTTCTCTGCGTTGTGCTTCATCGCGTCGCTGAAGCCAGGAAATGAAGGGTGCAGATGTGCATCGTCTGCGTTAGACGGATGTGGGGCAGCCGATCTCATCTGACAGTAGGCGAAACGCGCAATCTGCAAGCGCCCACACTCAGGGACCAACTCCTCAGGACCAGTACGTACCGCCGTGCTTAGCAATCGTTTTCGAGATGCTGCGCGAATTGCTCTGCCAAACCTCTTGTCGTCCGGCTTCGCCCAAATCCACCACCTCAAGACTCTTGAGGCCGTCTTCATTCGGACTCGCGTCTTTGGCGGCCCGAAGTGTCGATTGGAAGAGCGCTTCCGTTTCGTGCCATGGCATGGTCTGGTCACTCTCGGCATGAACAAGGACCAGCTTGAACCGCGAGCAGGTACCTACTCGGTTCATCAGTATCGGATCAGACGGAGTTGAGTAAATGTGATCGTCGTATAAACCACGACTTGGCTCCACAACAGTTTGGGTGCTTCGTCAACTTACGCGCCATTGTTGCCAGTCGATCGTCGCTTCGCCAGGTATCTACCATTCTACGGGCAAACCAGGCCTGGAAGGCAGGGAACACCTTCACAGGCGCAAGAACAGGCACAACGCCACCGATTGAATATGACGAAAATGCGTTTCCAGCATTCGTAAAGGCTGCGCACAGAACGAGACCAGCGAACTCTATGCCGAGACTGGTCGCGTAACGGTGTGCAATGCCGGATACGACAGCGGTCCCTAGTGAGTGTCCCAAGAGTACGATTCGCTCGGGAGGTATCAGGCAATTCTTCAAAGCCCAGTCAATCACAGCCTCTGCATCGTTCAGTAGACCAGATTCCGAGGGTTCGCCTGTGGAGATGCCAAAGCCGCGATAGTCGAATGCTAGAACAAACATCTTCTCCGACGCTCCAGCAGAGAAGGATCGATACTCTATCGTGCGGCGCTCCTGTGCTAACGTGGCAGAATTCCCGTGAAAGTAGATGAGTAGTCTGGCTTCCGGGTCGTTGCGTAGCGCATTCCAGGCAACTGTATTTTCTACGTCGATGCCTGTCTTCTCCCCGATGAACGCATCGGCATTTTTAGCATATATGCCCAATGGTGCTATAAGCCATGCGAAGAGTCGCTCTCCGTCTTTCGAAGTAATGCGAAAGGGTATGACCTGGTTTTCTGATCACATAAGCCCAAAGAACTATACGGCGCAGAGGTCCGTCACCAAGACCTAGGAGACTTGACATACTTAGGAATCCGGCTCTTTCAGGCTGCGTCAACCATTTCCCGGGGAAGAACGTGAAGTTATGGAGATAGAGCATTTCTGACTTTGTTAGCGTTGGCCTGTGTTTGTTCACTCGGCAAGTGTATTCTAACGTTTCTGGACCCATGGTAAGCAGCATAGCAGCGTGGCCGGAATCCATATCAGACTGAGAAAAGACAGAGTCGTGCCGATAGATTCATAGATGCTCATGATGGAGTTGGTCGTGTGCTTGATGGCGGAAGCGATTCGCACCGGGAAAGAAGCGGGAGGGTTAGCGCGCCGTCCATAATCGCTCGCACTGCCTGCCTGCCCGCTCAGGCGCTCAGTCAAACGCTGGCAAAGACGCGCACTGTGTCCGTTGTTTATTTGTGCTGAAATCCGCGATCAGCGATTATGCGCACCGCTCAAGAGTAGATGCAATAGTTCAGGCGGTCCGGCTGCCAGATGAGGGGTACCGGTGGTCGGGAAGAAGGCATGCGGCGTCGCGCGCCCACGCCTGGTGCCTGCATCACCTCAAGGTACCGCCAGCAACACCTACTGAGACCACAGACACCACTCGTATCAAATGTTGTGCAGGATTCTGCAAGCTGACTCATGATCGCGAATACCTCACAGATCCTCACCTGGTGCGGATCACGGGCGGACCGACGAGTGATGACAGCCATATCGAAGCCGAATCACTTCATGAAAGTCTATTCCCAGATACTGTAGACGACGCATGAAGGGGGCGTTTTATATACCCCTGTCGCTGTACTCAGTACACGCTGAGAAGTAGCTGAAAGTGAAGCATATAGTATTGAATTGCATTACATCTTCTATCTCGGCAACTGGGTACGAAAACTTGCTGGATCCTAGGGAATCTCTCGCTCGTCTCCCGGTCCGACCAATATATGCCCATAGCTACGGACTCTTGCGCCTACTGGTTGATTTCCTGTTCCAGTACTATTGAACGGCCTCGTGCTAATCTCCCAGATCTGGCGGTCTACGGCCTTTTTTGCGCCAGCTGAACGGCTGATACTCCTCAGCTTGCGAAGAGGTGTTAGCAGCGGGCGACTCATATAGTGACTTGTCGACCTCCGAGTACAGGCTGGGGTGGAGTGCGACCTTCATCTGTTGGTCTTTGGTATTGACGAATCCCAGAGCGCGTCGCATCTCAGAGTCTGTTGCAGATTGACGCTGTAGGACTGCATTGGCATCCTTGTACTCTTTGGATTCCAGACACGCCATCGCGTGGGCGATGTTTATCTCCTTTTCCAAAGAATAGCCTTCATCATGCTCAGTGGATGCGTATGCAGTGTAGCGCTTTGGCTCTTCTGACTCTTTGCGGAGGGGTCCGCGAGCGCTGGAAACATCTGGTGCTGAGACTTCGGTGAAGATACGCATCTCTTTGTCATCCTTTTCGGGGTCGTAGTATGTAGACGCCGAATATGCAGAGGATCGAGCGGAGTAACGATGCCCGTCATTGTAGTTAGTCGGTAAATCTGGAGGGGTTGATGACTTACCTCCACGGACAATGCGAGCTTTTATCTTTTGGAAGAGCGACGGCCCCCTTTCTCTTTCAACCTGGTAGATAGTCGGCGCGCGGGACATTTTGTGCCCAAGATATCCAGTTTCCTGGTCGAGTTCCGAAGAAGTGTAATGTGCCCAGGGGGTCTTGTTTAGCATATCACGCTTCATAACCATTTGCGGTGTGATGCGCTTCAGCTCCCCGCACTCCCACTTCGAGATCTGCTCTTGCAGATCTTGGCACGAGGAGCATTTACCTTTGAATCGCATGAAGACTAAGTAACCTATCATTGCGATGAGAAGAATAGCAAAGAGGATGAATAGTGAAAGGATGACGATGACGGGGGTATCGTCAAAGTGGCGTTCTGGACCCAGTGGAACAACAGTGGTCGAAGAAGTAGGCGGTAATGTTTGAGAGGGAATAGCCGATGATATCGAAATAGTGGGTTCAGGGATCTTGCTGCTCAGGCTTGCGGAAAGACTAACGGCGGCTGTCGTAGATGCGGACGGCTCGAACGTAGCCTGAGCAACCTCTGTAGGATACACAGTAGTATACTCCGTAAGCATAACCACCTTTGCTTGTGCCATGCTTTTCATCTGTCTCAGTGTGAAAGTAGTCTTGTTTTGTTGCGTGGTGAGCTGTCTTGCCTGAGGGTCTTTTGCGTTATTGGTCGTCTGTTTTAAGGTGGGATGAGAGAGATTATAAGCAGTGCCTTGCTTCATGCGTTAGAAGCTGTTTGCAGTACGCGCGAGCCCAGTATGTCTACAATGCACTGATCAGCTGACTGGATTAGCTCGTCACTAGAAGAGACTTCGTGTACCCACAACGCTGACTAGTGATAGTGAATATCACACGCTAGAGACCTAGTACTACTGCTTCTTCTGTCTTGTCTACTGATACATCTTTCATGACATTACACAGTCTCTCGCAGGCTATATGAACAGTCGAAGGGGACTGATTGGATACAAAACTCTAGCCTTGCGACATAAGAGACATGTCATACAAAAGATCATTCAGAGTTCGCATCTCACGCCATGTTATATGAACTAAAGCGCGGCTATGTTTCGAACTGCCTTTGCACATAGCAATGATTGACATTAGAACTGCCCAGAAGTTACATTGTTATTAGCGCTTACGTTCAGAGTCACTTTGATCTTACAAATAGACGAAAACAAGCTTTAGTAGGTATTGCTTTAGTATCTATATTATCACAATCCTGACTAGACAGTGAGAATAGCGATAAAAGGTTCTAGCATTAGACGTGAATTTGAACAGGAAGCTAAACTACATATTGTTGGCCTCCTACATGGCGTGCTTGGCATCTACATGCTCGGCGTGCGAGACCGAGCCCTGCTTAGCAGCGACTTCCTCAACACGGCGCTCGATGTCGAGACCCCACTCGGACGACTTCATGTTGGGAACAAATAGAGGAGCGTTGGTGAAGAGGTAGTTCATCTCCTCGAGAGGACGCTTGGCGGTCTCAGGCAAAAAGCAGTAGAAGAAGACGGCATTGGTGAAGTTGCAGATCTGAGGATTTGATTAGCGTAAGGTCAAGTTGTTGAGTTGCGAGAGTACTTACAACGAACAGCAGGTAGAACCTCCATCCCACAGATACCATGCCGAGCTCGGTGACTTGGCCAATCAAAGTGTTGAAGGCAAAGGACGTCATGGTGGCGATCGATACACCTTTGGAACGGGTCTTTGTGTCGAAGATCTCGGCGGGAATAATCCAAGATAGCGGTCCACAAGTCGAGGAGAAGCAGAAGTTGTACAGCCAGGTGACGGCAATGAAGCCCCACGAAGCACTTGCGTTTCCTGTTGAACCCGGAGGGAAGACAGCCAACATAATGGTGGATACGATGAAAGTAAGGCAGTTACCAAGGTTGCCACCGATCAGAGTCCAGCGACGTCCCAGTCGGTCGATGAAGGCAATGCAAAGCGCCTGTCCGCAAAGAGCAAGAACAGAAGAGATGGCCTGGTACTTGAGCGCCTCAGTACCATCAATACCCATCTGCTCGTAGATGGTGACGGAGTAGTATTGGATAGCCGAAACACCTGTCATTTGAACGGAAGCCTGAAGCGCACAGGCGAGGAAGAGACGGCGGAAGCACGACTTGTCCTTGAAGAGCTCGAGATAAGATTGAGCCTCATGCTCTCGCTCAAAACTGAGAGCTTCCTGGATTTGCTGGAACTCGGCTTGAACCCAAACGTCGTTGGTGTCACCATGGGCATGAAGCTTGGCCAGATTCGTAAGACCTTGCTCGACCTTGCCTTTGCTGATAAGCCATCTGGGTGACTCAGGGAACAGCATGATAAGAGCGGCCAAGAAAAAGGCAGGTACGACCTGGATACCCAGTGATGTTCGGAATTGACCATTGTCGCTGTCCGGAAACCCGATGTCAACGCCATAACTGATCCAGGCGGCGGCTAGGGCACCAATACCCAGCATGAACTGCACCAATCCACCAATACGTCCACGGATGCTGGGATGAGCCAATTCGGACTGATACAGAGGGATGATCATGACGAGGAAACCGACACCGACGCCAGCAAGGACACGTCCGGCGTAAAGGAAGTTGAGGTTCACGGCAGCAGTCTGCAGAGCACCACCAAGCATGAAAACCTACAATCATCATTGCGTTAGCAACAGCACGCACTAGCAGATATCTTAGAGAGTACTTACGCAGGCACCCATCAAGATAGTAAGTCGTCGACCGAAGTAGTCACCGGCGGGACCACCGAACATGGCACCGAAGAAGGCACCACCGGTAAAGACTGACACAACGGCTCCCTTTGCATTTGAGCCAGGATCGTTGAACTCGCGTTTGAACGCTCCGGAGGCGATGACCTGGGCGATAACACCGAGATCGTAACCGTACAATAGCGAACCAAGGGATGCAAAAAGACCCACGAGGAACTGGTAGACTTTGGGAGGGAGCGCCATGGCTGCTGCAGAGGGGATTGAGCGCTGCAGTGGGGAGGGGGATGCGATGCGTAGAGCGACCCACCATCGGCAGCCTACTGGCCCTTTATACTTGAAGGCATTATTGATCCTGCTGCGCTGCTCCCTGGCACCATGTCACCACCCATGGCTGACCGCGGTCTGGGGAACGCATCGAACGAGGCTACTCCACGGTCTCCGCAAAGAGCGGGGACACTGACTCGACTCCGCGTTTATTCTCTCCGCGACCCGCCTCTTCATCCCTGCATCACCAGCCATCGGCGTCAATACCGAGGCGACAGCACTTGTTCGGGAGATCGTAGCCCGAATCGCTACTTTTGCTTCCAACGCGATAACGTTAGCACATGCATATTCAGGATGCAAATGTAGAATGCGCTACGTTTCCACTGGTGGAAGTCTTCTTGGCTCCCCGTGGTCGTGGCGGCAGTTTTTCTGTAAACAACAATAGTGTGGCCTGTCTCCGAGATGATAGCAGCTAGCGTCCGCTGGGGAAATTCCACGAATGGGAGCATGTGTCAGCGTCGGGTGCGTCAACCAATCTGGCGTTGGCACCGACGCCGAGCCGGAGGTGGGCATGAACGCCATGAAGCCTTCAACGACATCGCGAAGGTCAGGCCACTACCATCGTGAGTCCTGATCTTGCATGTGAAGTTCTTTCCCAAAACACCACACCTTTTCAATCTTCTAGCATCATTATCCTCCCCCCTCATCATCATGGCAAGCTTCACCAAGATTGAGGAGAGCGAAACGCCTTCCATCACTATACATCCTTCTCACAAGATCGCTAAGATCAACGACAATATCTATGGAGGATTCACTGAGTAAGCTCAAGAATAGACGCCCTGCGGCTGGCGTTGGGTGCGTGTTTCTTTTTCGGCTAACCGACCACGCACCAGGCACATGGGCCGCTGCATCTACGGCGGCATTTACGACCCCGGCAACCCTCTTTCCGACGAGAGAGGCTTCCGCAAGGACGTCATTGAAGCTTTCAAGGAACTCAATGTGCCTGTAGTGCGGTACCCGGGCGGAAACTTTGTAGCCACATACCATTGGCTTGATGGTGTTGGACCCAAAGAGAACAGACCAAAGAGGTAAGTTATCACGGATGTTAACTCATGCGTGGCGTCCCTCAACTGCACATGTGCGTTGGGGGGCTGCCGACGCGTCTCGAGGATCAGCTCTCGTTGGCCGTACTGGCGCCACAAGCGTGTTCATGTGACATCGACCCAGCCACCATTTGTTCAGCATGTCCGCTACAGCAAGCTAATGTTGAGCCTAGGCCTGAGCTGGCATGGATTGGCATCGAGCCAAACACATTTGGTACGGATGAGTTTATGCAATGGTGTGAAGAAGTCGGCACGGAGCCATATCTCTGCCTCAACTTCGGAACTGGCACTCTGGACGAAGGTTCGTTTAATCCAACTGGTATATTGTGGCACATGATCTGATTAGATGTAGCTCTCGGATGGCTTGAGTACTGTAACTCAGATCGCGACACCTACTACGCCAACCTTCGTCGCAAGAACGGCCGCGAGAAGCCTTACAATGTATGTCCATCACCCGCTATTTACTCTTCCTACATCATCAATCATACTGACAACCGCCTAGGTCAAGTACTGGGCCCTCGGCAACGAATGTTGGGGTCCATGGCAGGTCGAGCAGATGACCAAAGAAGACTATGCCAAGAAGGCTTATCAATGGGCCAAAGCCCTCAAACTTCTCGACCCAACTATCACTACCATCCTTTGCGGTGAGACCGGTTACTCATCCTGGGACTACTATGTCCTCAACCAGTGCGTCAAGTGGGATGTCCATGGTCTCAGTGGCGATACCACCAAGTCGCTCATCGACATGCACTCTATCCACATCTACACTGCCGACAAGGAGCATCTGCCCAATGCTACCGCACCTCGAGCGGCTGAGCGAGCAGTGCAGATGACTGCGAGCTTGATAGATCTTGCACGCATCGAGAACAAGGTTCCCGAGACAGTGCCTAGGCAGACTATCTGCTTTGACGAATGGAACGTTTGGGATCCCGTTCGTGCGCCTGGTGAACTCGGAGCTGAGGAGAAGTACACACTTTCCGACGCTCTTGCCGTTTCCATCTTCCTGAACGGCTTCATCCGACAAGCCAAGGATATGGGCATGGCGACTGTCGCACAGAGTATCAACGTCATCTCACCCTTGATGACCACGAAGGAAGGCCTGGTTAAACAGACTTCTTGGTGGCCTTTGCTCCTCTTTTCCAAGTACATGCGTGGCCACACTATCGCGCTTAATGTTCGCGCCCCAGAATACACCGGCCGCACGAACCCGAGCTGGATCCGCAACACTATCGAGACGCCCTACCTGGACTGTAGCGCCACGCTCAGCGACGATGGTTTCATTAACCTTGCTGTCACCAATGTCAACGAGAAGCAGGACTTCGAGGTTGACATCCCGGGACTGAAGGCCGACAAGGTCGAGGTGCACACTGTGACTGGCGACAACGTTGATGTGGTCAACACTGATGGCGTGCAGAACGTTGGTATCAAGGAAAGTAGCTGGGATGGGCAGGGCAAGTTCAAATTTGGCAAGCATTCCTTCACTCTGCTGAGGTGGAAGGCTTGAATGGCTGGCAGGACACAGCGCAATACTAAACGATGAATTTGTGGAATGATCTAAGATGATTAGACATATGACATAGAAGGCCAATGCAGCAAGTATGATGAATGCAAGCACAGACTAAGAGGATTACGAGATTTGCCAAATGCCATCAAG